GGGGCCAAAATATAGTTAAAAAAGTGAAATCATGGGTATGTTCCATAATCAAAGATAAAATAAAAACAAATCTTTTGAGAAAACATCAGTCTGTCTAAACACCTATTAAGCAACTGAGCAGCACCAGAATCATCCAAGAAATTTCAGAAAGATAATCTGCTTGCACATCTCCCAGTCCCTGGAGATATTCAAGGTCAGGTTGGACCAGGCTCTGAGCTACCTGATGAAGCTGTAGATGTGCCTGTTTGCTGCAGAAGAGTTGGAGCAGATGACTTTCAACACAAATGATTTTATGATTCTGTATTATTTTATTAATTTTACTAAATTATGTTACTATCATCACACCTGATATTATTTGTTATATATATTCCATCCTTTGATGGATGTGAAATGTAAATAATGCTTTGCGTGTACCTTTTCATTTTCGCAATTCACACTGTCTATCTTTGAGGATAAGCTTTATGGAGATTTACATACTTCTACTCATTGAAGTGAAATGCTCAGGCTGTGTAGTAGATCAGATATACATCATGTAATGCTGAATGGTCAAATGCCTTGGCCAATTATGCTAGTGTTATGCTGTTTTAAAGCCATTTTGACGCTACGTTCAGGGAGGTGCAAAGCACTCTTACCTCTCCTACTTGGTATGTATAAGGGCAAGCCCATTTTTTATTATCATTAGTCATGCTCCTTCCATAAGTACAATTCCCCTAAGCCTGGAGCCTACGTTACATCCCATCAGGACTAATGGCAGTCGCACGCATACATCGTGCGTACTTCAGAGGACGGCTCTAACGAAGCCGCGGAGCGGACCTCCGGCCCGCCGGGCCCTCCTGCAGCTCTCGGGAGCTGTCCGCGGTGCTGCAGCGGGAATGCTGCTGCTGCCCCTCCTGCACGGCGGCAGGGAAAAAAAGGGTTTTCGGGCACAACAGTAGCTATTAATTGTACTAACCCGTGAATGCAGGTAGCCAGGAAAATTCCAAGACAATTCTACCTGCACTGATCAAAAAATAATCCTCACTAGTGACTCTGTGAGAACAGTCACTCTTGTACAACCATACATTTTAAGTGGATTAAAACACTCATTCCTTTGCAAAATGACCACATCTTGATGCTGATGTCTGTAGAACAAACCAGCTTTCTCCAGTGAGAAGACAGTCATTCTTCTGCCATTATATCTTACACTGATAATTTCAGGATCTGAAGTATGTCTAAAGTAAATAATACTATTTAAGTTGTATATGAGTTCTTGAGATTGTTAGAAATGAGTTGGGTTTAACAATGCACTCTAAGAGAGTGCATTCCACATTCTTTATCTATCTTATCATCCTAGGCTGAACCTAAGAAAAGAGAAGAAAAAAAAAAAAAAGAATTTTGTTGATATTAATCACAGAATCACAGAATCGTAGGGTTTGGAAGGGACCTCCTCGTTTAAAGATGTTAGAGAAAGACAAGGTCAAATATCTCAGTCAAGGAAGCATGCATAATAATAGCTGCTTCCACAGGGGAATCGTGGGTCCTTCATATGGGGACACTAAGAGTCTTGAGGAGGCTTATTAAGAGGAATGGGACACTGAAAGCAGTTCTCTGATCAGGAAAGTAAATGAGTGAGGAGCATATAAACAAAGAGAATAAAAGCAATTATACTCAAAAAGCAGAAAAACTCTCCTTGAGACAAAGTAAACAAGTTGAAAATCCAAAAGGGGGATACCAGAGAAGGATAACCAAGCCTGAAGGCCTAGGAAATCTTTGGAGGATATTTTAGGATTGTTATTTATTAGTGGTTAAGATAAAAATTGATTCCATTGCTATCCTATGATTTCATCAGCTATGAATTTTCCTTTTTTTCTTTTCTATTTTTTTTTCCTTCCTAAGTAAAAGCTTATGGATATTTACACAAGTTAGGAAAAAAAGATCAAAATCCATGGATTTGAATGTCTGGGTAACCAACTTATAGGTAACCAACTATTTTCCAACATATGGTGCTGAAAGCATATGAGTAGATCCATTAAAGAGTCCCAGATGTGACAATAACCATGGGATAGATGGCATCATCCAAAACAGATTCTGCTCTTTTGTGCCACCTAGAATTAAATTACTTAGGACTTATGATGGACTTCAGGATGGGAAGTGTTTACATCATATTCTGCTTGCCTTCATCTACTTACTCCCACTTACTTCAGTAAGTTCATCTACTTACTCCTGTGTTTACATCTTTCTTTTTTTTCATTGTAAACACTATATCTCCCTTGCAGAAAGTGCGTACTATTCAGTAGCAATACTGACATGTCTGACTCAGACCATCTTAGAGAGAGGCTCACTGTCACTGATATGAGCATGTTGAAAAAGGGAAGGAATTAATCAACATTAAAATTGTGCTTTCATTGCTTGTATTTGCTTGCTTTGTAGAAGTATTTCTGGGAAGGGCAAGAAGCAATTCTATGTACTTAATTTACTCAAGCCTTTAACTGTTAGTTGCTGTTTTTTTAGTGGATTTGTTGTAGGGTTTGTTTTGTTTTGTTTGTTTAAATTCACTGCAATAAAGTGGGTCTTATTTTATTAATAAAATATCTGGTTGGAGGTCTTTGTCAGATCAAATCATTGTTCAGCAAAGTAAAAGAAGCAGTGCCAACTGGCTGTTTTTCCATGAGTATTCTGCCTAGAAAAAAAAGGTGCAGAATTTAGTACATCTTCTTTCTGTTTCCTAAATAACACAACAACTGTATAGTAAGTGTATTTAAACTACTTCATCCTTTTGTTCCATGTCAAAAAAGAAGATATATGTTACCAGTGTGTCCAAGTCAAGGTGCTAAAAGAACACAGCTCTTGCTCTGCTACCTCATTTCTTCTTATCAAAAGACAAGTCTTTTCTTGTTTAAAGTAAGAAGACTTAACATTATTCTACTGACAATGCTGAACCAAGCTTTGCTTGATTTTTTGAATCAAATCAACAGATTTGTTCCAGACATCAGCACTAAAAAGATTAAGAAAATAGCATTTGTGGGAGGAACTTAATTTTGAAAATCCTTCATGTTCAAATCTTCAGAATAATAGAGCAATCAAGAAATCAGCATGTTTCATCTCATCAAGTAGCATAGAAATCTTAATCTTCAACTGTTACAATAATTCTAAAATTATTAGTTTGGATGCCTTTTAGCCTTTTAGAGAGGATTTCACAGTAACTGATTTTAATAGCCTTTATCAATGTTAGCAGCATTTGTTGTGAGTCAATAAGCATCCCAGATTGGCTGTACAATCCAGCACAACTAGAAAAGTGCCTGACAGAAAAAGAGACATTACTAATCTGATTGCCAGTGCCTTTTGTATCTTTCAAGATTATTACTTAACCTTTTATTATTTAACTTTGTAAATCCACAGTAAGTTTTGACTTTATTGGAAAGGTGTGACATAAAAAGTTGTCTTTTTAAATTTTGCTAAGTTTTGAAGCAAATAAATAATTATTTGGTTTGATGTAAAATATTTTTGCCTTTTTTCTTCAAGGAAATCTTAACATTAAATATGAAAGTGTTGAAGTCATAACTTCACAATAGATCAAAACTTGTAAATGAGTACATGAAATGTGCTGAGTCCATAACGCTTCCAGACTGGTAAGACAGCATGTTTTGATTTGGAGATATGGGCTCACACACAGAGACAAATCATTTTGCTTTTGATTGCAAGGTCTTCCTGGTACTTAGTGTGCAGTTCAGAAGAACATCATGCAGATTAATTGTGGGCCTACATTGAAGTTCACTGCTGTAACTTTCTTCCTTGATGCTGAAAACACATTGCAGGAAGAAAAGGATACACGGTGAATTTTTATGGGAAGAGCCTATGAGCTTGAATAAAGTATGGGCAACAGCACTGCAGACAAGTGCCCTAGTTTTTGCTGTCATAAATTTGTACTGAGAAATTTCTGCATTTCCTTTTCTGAGCTATCTTCACAGGAAGATGAAAGCTGAAATTCTCATTTATATTTTAAGTCCTCCACGCCAAGGATGCTCACAGACATGCTTCAGAGTCAGATTCAAATTCTGCTTCACTGCACAGTTATTCCTGGTAGAATCAGCATACATAAAATAAAAATATGACCTTGAATGTCAGCTTTCAGTCTTACATGGATAAGCATGGCATCATTTGAAATTTATTGGAATTACCTGACTCATGTCAAGAGTTTATATGGAGTTTTTGAATGAATGATTTTTTTGGATTTGTATACCATAAAGAATGGATACCTTGTTGAATCTAGGATATCTCTAATCTGCCCCAAATGTTCTCTCAATTCTTGTTTTCATTTTTGTTGCAAAACAGCTTGTAGCATCCTTGATGTAGAGAAGACCTAATAACAAGTTCTCTGCATGTTCTTTTATCTACACCAAGAATGTATGAAATAAGTTTGCTACACTCTTATTTGTTGAATGTCATGTGAGTCTTAGAGTCAGTTAGTAAAAGCTAGTTTTATCAATAACTAAGGACTAAGAATCAAAAGGAAAGATCCCTCTGACCTGCCACGCTTATTTTCTTTAAGTGCCTCTAATAATTCCCAGTATTTCCCTGTTTCTTAACAAGGAAAACACAGGAAAGACTGTGACATTGCTCAGCATTCCCATCAATTTTGCACTTGGAGTTCGAATGAACAGAATAAATTACCACGTCATCTATTTCACCATAATTGTCCTTGTGCCCTCCTACTACCTAAAAAGTATTAAGTAATGTAGGTAGTTTACAAGGCAATTGCTGATTCATTTGAGAAAAATAAGCATTTCCAAAGCCAGTTGCTGCAAGCTGGTTATGTAAAGTAGCCTGCTGACATGTTGATTCACCTTAGAACCATCTTCCACTGTCTAAACTGAGGTACAGTGAACCACTGCTCATGTTTTAGAAAACTTTGTTAAAGCTCAAAACTTCCAAAACTGTAAATTATCCTCCCTCTTCAGAATGAAAAGGTCAAATTTAATGCAGAATTTTTAAAGTATCTAGATTTATTCAAATCAAATACAAACAAAATACTCCATACAAAATAAAGCAACCACTGTCTCAAACAAATGATCAAGTTTATCAACTGAATTGCAGAAGTTGTAAATCTGGCACAAGGTAGATGTCATTTAAGACATTTTACGCTGCACTGAGGAAAGGTTAAACTTAAGTGACTTTGGATCTGTCATAATAATAAGCATGTAATTCTTTACTTTTACTCAATTACTGAAATATAACTTGCTACATTATAGAAACTTTGTGCCTGGTTCCATTCTTTCATTTAAAATCATCAAAGGAGCAATTCTAGTTGTATAGATTTCCTTCATCACTTGTGAAGAAGGAACATGATAACCAGTTCATACAGTTACTGGCAGTACACACAGCCTCAACAGGAAGAAAGTGCTGTTCCCCATTTCTCCGTCTATGTTGACTATGAGAAAGAACAAGATGTCAGGCTATAAAATTATAACTCTTCTTTGCACTTGGTGCAGGCTTAGAAAATGTGCCTAGAATGGAACCTTTGTGTTTGTATTGTACTCTGAATTTTACAATTTTACAGGTAAATATAATACTGGAGTTAGAGATTAACTGAGTTTTTCAGAAATTCACTTGTTTCAGATCCGCCCACAAAGACATAAACCTGTAATAACAACAAATGATAAGTGACACAAAACAACTGGAAAGTCTCTCATAATGAGATTAGTATTTGCAAGGACTTTAATAAAGTTTGTATTAGAAAAAAGAAATGGATTGTATTTGGCACATAGGCAGTGTAAGGAAGCAGAAAAAAATCACTTTGAACTTGATCAAGTTGCTATGCATAATACCAAGGAAGATGACTGGCAGTGTAGTATATCCTCTTGGATCAAAGGTGCTTGAAGAGATAATTCACAAGATGGTAATAGATTTTGAGATTCTAAATGTTGTTTACTTGCTTCAGCTGTTTCATGTGGAATTATGATACTAATTTTATTACTTTTATGGAAGAATTAATGGTAGTTGGTTTGCTCTAAGATCTTCTGTTAATGTATAAATCTGAGCAATTAATAAATATCATGTTGTGTAACTTGTGTATGCCACGAATTCAAAAAATGGCAAAAGAGATGATTTTCCTTTCATTTGCATCTGCAAAGATTTTTAGTATTCTCAATGAATATAGCAAAATTGCATCAATAAAAAATTAGCATCAAAGAGGAAAACTGCCCCAGACTGCACTAACTATCCAGAGACCTTAAGTGTCTCTGTTAAAAACATGCTTCTAGACAATGGGACAAATTTCTTCTGTGCTCGTTGAAAGAATTTGACTTAGTTGTTAAGCTTCAAGAAAAAAAATCATTTGGAAAATTATTTTGGAAATGAACCTGTATTTGTTTAAAAAGATATGGGTTTTTTGTCTGTTTCTAAATAATATTTTGATACTGATTGAATGGTTATGGCATATGAGCTTGGGTGAACTCCAGGTGAGAATTATCAGCGCTCTCAAGTGTTGTCCTTTCCTTGTCTGTGGAATAACTCCTCAACTGAGGTAAAGGAGATCCTACTAAGAGGTTCAACCTTCTCATCAATTGGCTATATATGAGGAGACAGAGAGGACAGTCTGTCCTCAGAGCCAGTGATCTAAACAAAACTGTACCAGACACAGATTAGCTGTACACATCAGCCTCAGGAGGCTGTGCATCTGCCAGTCAGGAGATATGAAGGATCCATAGATGTTTTCTTGTTGAAAATATCAGAAAATCTGGGAAAGTGGGTAACAGAGGCTCTGAGGAATTAGATTTTTGACAGTATCTCCCAGATTAATTCCCTAAGGCCATCTCCATGAACATGCAGGGAATACAGGTGTATGAGAGATTCCCAGCTGCATATGTCAGAGAAACAACAGACATTTTTATATAAATGCGTTATTTTTCATATCACTGCTGCCCTTTTATAAGCACAGCTATCACAGTCCAGTCAGTACATGTCAATGCAATACACCAAAGAGTTTTTACAGTTCTGGAGAATATTAAGATTTTGAAGGTATCATTAAATCTCAATATGAATAAAATTGATAATATTGCTCATGAGATCCAAGGACAGGTTGGATGGAGCCCTAGACAACTTAATCTAGAGCATGACTTAGTGATTGGCAATCCTGACTGTGGCAGGGAGTTGGAAGTAGATGATCTTTAAGGTCCTTTCTAACCCAAGCCATTCTATGATCCTATGATGCTATGATTCTCTGATCCTACGTAATCACTGATCCTAAGTAATAATAATAGTTAATTCAAGTCATGTGAGCTACAGTGGAGCTATGATGACTTGGTCACTCAAATAATGCTACTTCAGTTAATTTGCTTCAAAACTGATAGCCTGAAAACTGCTATAACACTATTATGTTCTTTAAGATCGAGAGTAGTACTGCATTTTTTTTCTGACCTATATTTATGTAGAACTTCTGAAAGGCATTAATGTAATTGTTTTGAATGCAGACAGAGATTGGAAGCAAGGTGTAATAGGTTGAAGTATTAAAAAAAACAATAACCCACAAGCAAACAAACAAAACCCCTTAAAATAGAACCTGATACATAATACTTTCTATTAATTCAGTGATATTACTACGATTTCCATTTAAGGTTGGACAGTATGAAATTAATTACCTTGTACATTGCTGTGGTTTAACCCAGCAGGTGGCTCAGCACCGCACAGTCGTTTGCTCACTCCCCCCATTCCCAATGGGATGGAGGAGAGAATTAGGAAAACAAAAAGTAGAACTCATGGGTTGACATAGAACTATAAGAGAAAAGGAAAAGGATAATCGTTATGACTACATATATATGTATATGAACGTATAACAAGCGATGCATAGCACTCACTAATCAATACCCAGCTAGCCGCTCGAGCAGCAGCAGCAGGAGTGATATACTCCCACCCCCTTCAAAACTCCTTCTGCTCATCATATGGTATGGAAAATCCCTTTTGTCGGTTAAAGTCAGCTGTCCTAATTCTGTTCCCTCCCAGCTCCTTGGACCCTTCATTGCAAATGGCATTGGCTCTGTACAGCACCGCTTAGCAGCAACTAAAAACATCAAGGTGTTATCAACATTGTTTCTCCCCTAGAAACAAAACAGCATTCCACCAGATACTGAAGAAAACTCCAGCCCAGCTGAAACTAAGACATACGTCAATACTCAGCTATAAAGGAATTCACAAAGGATGATTGCATTTGTCTCCCCAAAGCCTAAATAAGTGAATTTTTAAGGGACTTTCTCTTTTCCTGTACAATTACAAAAACATCATTTCTCCAAAGAACCTAAAAATAGCTGACAAACTGAAGGCAAATTGATAAATGATTTACAAGGAATTTTTAATCTTTTTCGCATAGGAACAGCTCTCTAACAGTGGGAATAGATGTTTATAATGAAAAATCTCTTTTTGTTGCTCATATAGCACAAGGGTTGTGATTTAATGTCAAATTATTGTGTCTAGAGATATTGGTGTGTAGCTATAATTACTCTGAATGGAGGATGGGTTTAATGACTGAAAAAAGTTCACGTTCTTACTCTAGTTTGAATTATCTTTGTATATTGACAGGCAGACAGACAGGGAAGCAGGCAGATAGATAGATAGATGTACAGACAGAGATATGTGTAATAAAAAGCATTCCTTAATGTAATAATATATATTACATTACTTTTTATCAAGAACTGACAAGTTGCACAAATCATTGAAGAATATGGAAAAACAGATTGGTTTACTTCAGTGTCAGCATTACATATATGAAGAAATGTTGACCAAATTTACTATAGCTGTATCAAGACAAAATGTCTCCAGTATTACCAAACAGAAAAACAAAATTGTAATTATAGTTTGTGCTCTGTTCATTTCAAAAACTGTTTCTCTGAAACATCATCTACAGGTCACTTGATCTGCTCTTCTTCTCCCATAGTGCTTAGCAGCCTGTTTTCCAAAATAAATTCTGTATATCACGATACATGTAAGGGACTGAAAGATTTCTATTTACAGAAGTCAAAAACAGATATAATTTTCAGTGTTAGACAGTTGGGAGACTTCAGTAGAGAAGAGGAGAAGCTAGAGGTACAACCACAGGATTCCCTACCCACTGCAAAGATTTCTGATGCAGTTCATCATCTCTGAAGTTGCCATCACACAATTCCTGAAGTTAAAATATCTCTGGACATTTTCCTTTTCCTTTTATCAAGAATGTTTTTCCACAAATATCTCCAAGTTACTGGAGTGTGGTTCTTCCCATGGCAGCCATCCCTCTGCTCACAGCCTAACTATAGTCACTAAGCCATGGGGTACATATAAGCATCATCATATGGAGTCAGCTGGGAAAGAGGTGACCTCCAGGCAGTCTTGGAGGAATGACTGAAACATTCCATCCCAGCTGAATGGGTGGGTGACATAACATCATACCAAGACATTTGCACTCTGTTTTACTCTCCATCAAGTTCACATCCCTTCAAGGAAAAAGGATCATCCATCTCAAACTGAATTATATATATGGAGGGGACAGCATTGACACCTGAAGCTGGTAAAACTGTGGGAGAGGGGGTTCATTTCAGACAAGCATCCAGGTTTGCGCTCCCTGAGGCACATCCACACAGGCTAAAGAAAAACCCCTACACCTGATCAGATGAGGGATTGGAGGTCATACGTAGGGCACAATGTAAGATCAGGCTTCAGTGTTTGCTCTTAGTTAGACAAGCATCTCTCCAACACCTCTGGTGAATAGGACTCTAGGTATTATAGAGAGGTTTTTTGCATTTAGTCTGTGAAAAAGAAACAGTACCTCTAAAAACTGAGTACTGTAATCAAGTGTCTCACTAAACTTAGTGCCTACATATGAAACAGCTGAAATCTGTAGAACAGGAAGTGATAAAGCTATTTGCTTCAAGTGGCTTAACAGTAATTATTTAACAAGATTTAATTCATGGCTGTTACAGTATATTGTTACTTCAAGAAAAATAAGCTTTTTTAATATTCTGCTACACCTTTCTTAAAAGGCTTTAAAAGCTATGTGTCTGCATACATGGGGTTATAATACACCTTGCAATAACAGCTGACTTCCTCATTTGTTGGCTAAAATCACGGAGTGTCACTGAGATGTCATTTCAGTAAACAAAATACTTTCCTTTTTTATACATTATTCTTCAGAGCAATATTTTAAGGATATCAAATACCCTTTAATCATAGATAGCTTTCAATAAACAAATGGCTTTCATCTGGCTTATTCTTGTAGCTATGAAAAAAAAAAAAAAAAAAGATCATTAAAGGATTTAGAAACTTCTTTGTTATAATTTGGCAATATTTGAAACGTCCACAAGTGAAATTACTACTTCATATATATTTTATTTTTTATGTACGTCCTTCAGCATAAACATCTCCATAAAACACCTTGAAGTCATGAAAAATATTTAAATTTTATTTCTCTGATGCATATACAATGTATAATTTGTCAGTGTTCTCTTAAAATAGTCTGATCTTGAGCCTTACCTTTCATTTCCTGACATCCTAACATCTATATGCACCAAATGAAGTGAAACAGAAACATGATCATTGTGTTTTAGGAGAATATGTGCAACTCAAGTCAGTGATTGCTTGAGAAGAAAGAGTTCTTTCTCCCTCCATTGTGCATACTTTGCAGAAATTATTCATGCTAGGCATGAGTCTGATTTCAGCAGCACTTTTGTTTCCTCCTATCACTCCTCTCCTTCCACATCTGCAGCTGAAAGCCCCATGCTGTGCTAGGGAGTCACTGTGCTCAGTTCTGGAGCATGCAGGGGACATGAATTGGTTGACATCAGCTTCACAGCATTAGACAACAGTGTACTGCAAGTGGCTTTCCATGTCTCATTCTATCAACAGGCCATGAATTCATGACAAATTTATCCGCTCTCTGATCCTATAAATAGGCTCAGGTTCTCTGGGAAATAGGGGGATTCTTTTGATTTTCTCCTCCCTCTCTTTTCCATTTTGACCTTTCATTCACGATGTAAGAGTATCTGCCACCCTCTGAAGCAGCTGTCGCTTGCTAAGGCTGTGCTGCCTCTCTGGGGCCAGCCAGGAGAGGGTACTAGAGAACAAAGCTGTACCAGCTCCCTGGGGAGCTCTGTTCCTGGAAATGCAGCCCAAACTCCACTAAAGCCATTCCACCCTTCTGCTGTCCCATTTCTTCACTTCATTCCCTTACAGTTTCAGGCTTGGTACTGCCCACTCTGTTCTTTGCAAATGACACCTTAGAAGCACAGGCCAGTAATGCACACGCATCTCTTCAGGTCTGGGATTTCATCAAAAAGGATTCATCTATTATTTGGCATGGATTTAACATCCTCTAATTTTAAAAGTCAAATTATGCAGCTGCCTCATCAATACTCTTGTTTGAAGGTTGCATACAGAAGACTGGAAACAGCTTTGAGGATCAGAATAAAGATACCAATTCAGTTTTCCTACTGTTCTACTGTGCTGTGCCTTGGGCTTGCAGGAGGCCTCTGACAGACTACAGTGTGTTTGGGGTCTCTAACTGGGACATCTCACCTCTGGTGGGTCCTGACTCCAGGGCATGCTGAGAGCAGACATAACTGGGTTGTGTAGAGGTCTTAGCAGAGCATAGGGAAACTACAGCCCACCCCCCCTTGTCTTCCTGTTACTGTTCGCCAAGCAAACTCCAAGGAACAGTTTTAAGGAAAGACAGTTGATGTCCTCTTTTTGGATTTCAGTAAAACTTGCAATACTGTTTCTCACAGCATACTTCTGAACATAATGTCCAGCATACAGGTAAACGAAAACATAATGTGATGGGTGAGCAATTGGCTTACAAGTCATACCCAAAAGGGTTTTAGTAAATGAAGTTACATCAGACTGACAGCCAGTCACTAGTAAAAAAAAAAAGTACTCTTTGATGTTTTCCAAGTGATTTGGATGTAGGACTAGGTGTTTTGAGCAAGTTTGCTGATGATACTAAATTATGAGGAGTTGCTGACTCCATCAAGGGTGGAGAGGCCTTGTAGAGACAAATTAGAGAGCTGGACAGTCACCAACCACATGAAGACAAGAGCAAATGCTGAATTCTGCAGCTGGAAAGGGACAACCCCAACTATATAGAGAGGCTAGGGGATGAAACACTGTAGAGCAGCCTCACTGAAAGAGATTTGGAAGTCTTGGTCAACAGCAAGTTCATCATGCGCCTTCAATGCACCCAGGAAGGCCAACTGTATCCTAGGGCATATCAAGTACTGAACTGCAAGAAGTCAAGGGAAAAGATTATCCTGTTCTTTACTGCACTGGTACAGCCTTACCTTGAGTACTGTGAGCAGTTTTGGGCACCACAGTAGAAAAAAAGACAAAACTATTAGAGAGGGTCCAAAGGAGAGCTATGAAGACGTTGAAGAGTCTAGAATGGAAGACTATGAGGAGTGGTTCAGGTCACTTGCTGTGTTCAGCACAGGGAAGATGCTGAGGGGAAGCCTCATGGCATCCTACAGTTCCGCACAGGGAGTAGAGAGACATGCTGAGCTCTGCTCTCTGGTGACAGAGCCCAGAGGGAAAGGTATGGAGCTGCATCAGGGGAGTATCAGGCTGGATATCAGAGAATGTTCTTCACCAGAGCATGGTCAGATGCTAGAACGTGATCCCCAGCACAGTGGTCATCGCACCAAGCTGCTGGAGTTCAAGAAGTGTTTGAACAACACTCTGAAAAATATGATTTGATTTTTGGGTGATCCTGTGTGGAGCCAGGAGTTGGACTCATTGATCTTTATGGGTCCCTTCTAACTCAGGATATTCTGTGATTTTATGATAACTGTCTTAGCCTGCCATCTGGGATTAGAAAACAGAAATCTTATGAAATTAGAAGTATTTAGATAAAATAGTACACAATCTCACCTTTTAAATTAGAATGCTTCTGATATTTTTAAATGTAAAAGAAAAAGAAAAAAAAACCACCAGAAAGATGGCATTGCATTCTTTCATATATGAAACATCCAGCTGGAAAATCATGTACGACAACAGATGCAGACGATTTTATGGAGTACACAAGCTGGGGTTTATGAGATCCCTGCTCCCCAGTTGTATATTACTGGCAACTTCCACATGTACAGTCACCTCCCGCCCCACTCTTACTAACAGAAGCACCTCATGTCACCCACCAAAGCACACAAGGGAGTTCTTTGTCACACTGTAAAAATTTACTTTCTTTCCTGGCACAATTCATTTACTCAATCACATTTGGAGGAACACAGCTCACCTGGCCATCATGTTATCAGGACAAACTCCTAACAGAAGGTAGGGTGCATAATCCGCCAGTCCAACCAGTTGAGGACAGTGCAGGAGTCAGCAAGGCCAACTTCTGTAACCCAGTGGGTCTGTGCAAATGAAAAACACAGAGTGAAAAAGCAGAGAGCAGAATGGGTACAGCACTGCTGCTGATAGAGTTGTTCAGTTTGAGATGTGCATCACCTGAGCACTGCTGCAAAAGTGCACTGGAATGCTGAGCGATTTGACCAGAAGAGCATGGAAAATAACCAAGAAAAATGCTGTCAAATCCCAAAAACTAACTTGATTGTGCAGAAGGTGGTGCATTCTGAGAGTACAGAGATGGCTGCAGTACACAACTGGGCAAATCCATAGAGCAAAAGTCCAGTTGAGATTTTTCATGATATACACATATGCTTTAAAGTAATACATAAAATGCAACATCAGTCCTGCTACAGAAAGTCCTTAACCTATGAATCACCAGAGGCTGAGAAAATAATTTGCAAGCATGTCACTGCATACTTGACCCTGCCCTTATATTCTTTTTTGTAGACCCGCTGTTGGCCAGTGGCAGATGGGTGCTGCATCACACAGGCTTTTAGCCTTGGCTCATACAGCCTTTTATTAGCTCAAGTGTTTACATAATAAATTTGAAAATAAAAAGGAAATAATATTATTTAGTCCCAACATTTCAGAAGTGTTTGACAGTGCAGTATCATTTTTACACTCATTTAATATTGGAGGCCTTCTGTCAGTATGGCATCTTTGTTTGTACCCTTTTCCTATAAGTTTAAAAAAAAAAAAAGTTAGCTGTTCTGAAGGTAATGCTTGCTATTTATTCTTAAGGAAACTATAGAAGATGCAAAGAGCAATAGCTATGCAGTAGAGTAAACTCTTAGCTACAACGTGCTATTGTTCAGCATAATCATTACAATTACTCAATTCAAGCAGTTGAGTTGATCAAGACACCCTTCATTTGTACAGTCAACATATGCTCAATGCAGTTAGAATGGTACTTTACAGGTGTTATAATTGGAAAAATTATCATGGTGGGAAAGAGATAATGAAGGAAAAAACGCTAACCTGCATCCAAGGATCTAGGCTTGCAGTGGAAAACTCAAAAAAAGAAGGGATCTCCAGCAAGAGAACCTTCCCCAGTGCGAGTCAGCACTTAAATGTTGTCTAGGAGAGGTGCAGCCAGGCTTCACCCCTTCTGGTCACACAAGTGAATTGCCTTCACCTGTGCTCCCACAGCTGACTCAGTCCTTGCCTCTGGTGATCAATCAGTGGTTCAGGCTGTGACTCAACAGATCCCATACCCTATTTCATGGTGTGACGGCCACCTGGAATGTGGTTTGTCTTTCACGTTATGGTTGCTACTGCTGAAATACACCACTCAGATCTTCACTGTGCCCACATCCAGTGTCTGGTCTCCATAAATGATCAGCGAGCACCAATGAATGTCAATGGATGCCACTTTTCCCAAATGGAGAAATTTAATTCCAACTTTGCTTCATATGCGCTTTCACATCAGATGTTATTTTTTCAGACTGCCCCTCTGCTGCCATCTGTCACATGGCAATAACATGTAATGGAGCAGTGGTGGGAATTCCTCTATTGCCGCACTGCCTACACCCACCTGACATCATGGACCAATATAATTAAATACGATGCATTAATTTAGGAGCAGTCTGTGTATATTTGATTTTTGGTATTTGTACTCATATCTGAGAGCAATACGTTTTTGAAATAAACATATCAGAGGTTGTTTCAAAACGGAGTGAAATGAACATACGTTATAAGTTGTCATGTGTTTTCACGAATATGAACAACTCTGCCAACTTCAGTGGAAGTTTAACAGAACTGTCTGATGATAGGTCATAATTACAAGACAAACTGTTTCATAAAAGAAGCGGAAAAAATGTAATGCAACTGACAAGGGACATCGGGAGAGAAAAAAAACAAGTGACCTTGTACCACTGGTGGCAATAAAAAGAAGATGCTGTTAAATTTCATTCCACTAAAAAGACAGCTTGCCTGTGGAATGGTTGCAAGAGAGGACAAGGATGGAAGATCTCAGCTTTGAAGAAGGACACAGGAGATGAAGAGCACCAAAGCTGCACTGAAAGAGAAGGTGAGATGTGCCAGGAGGCAATCTCTGGAACCAAGGTTGGTGGGCACAGGAGAAAGAAGCACATCCTTCTCATCAGTATCCTGGGCAGCAACGTACCTGCACAGCCTGAGGGCAATGAATAGGAAGAGCCTGAAGAAGGTTATGTTATTCTGCTAACATCCACTGGCATTCAGCTGGGAGCCAGGCACGTTCTGGCAGAATCTCAGCTGCCCCATAGCCCTTACCTAAACAATCTCTTTTTTTTTTTTTTTGTGCAAACTATCTGCAAGCATCTGAAGAAACAACAGATGAGTAACAGCCAAAGTGAATTAGTTAAGAATAAATTACATCAAGACAATATAAAATCCTTTGTGGCAGAGTGACAGGCCTGGTGGGCAACACAGAAACAGCTGAAGTCATATATTTTGATGTTTAGTACTTCTTTTGGCACTGTACTGACAGCTCATCCTCAAAGCAAACTAGGGACATGACTGAGACAAAAGTACCCTGACTGGCTGCAAAACCAGTTACAAAATCATATCAGGAGGACAGTTATCAATGGTTTGCTGCAAAGTATGGCATACATTCCTCAGGGATCTGCCCTGGGTTTGGCAAGCAGATTTACAAGCAGCCTGAATGATGAAATAAGGAATACATTATTAATGTGCAGACAGCTGAGCTGAATGGAGCTGTTAATACCTGAGATTATGCTTAGAATTCAAAATAATCCTAATGAGTTTTATCATCTCGGTATAATAGGATGCTTTTCTGAAAAGAATAGATGAAAATTACTGAAGGAATAAGGATGTTTACAGTGTGAGGAAGAAATCGTTAAGAAGCGGTTCTGCAGTGAAAGATTCGGATTACTGTGAAACATAAGCTAACACCACTCTCATATGGAGAGGAAAAAATGCCCAGTGGTTTCTGTAGACACTAAAGTGCAAAGTAATTGCTGAGCTCACAGGGGCTGTGCTGGAGGAGCATGTCCAGGTTTGGATGTCACTTAAGGGCTGATTCAATTAAAGCAAGACAGAAAGCGTGAAAGGGTGACTGCAAAACATGGTCCTCAAGAAAAAGTTTGCACAAAATACAAGTGTTAAGCCTGAAGAAGATGATATATGTAGGCTTCTCTGAAAGTAATGCCTCCTATTTATATCCATGGAAACTACAACAGTTACAAAGAGCACAATAACACTGTTTGATTGATCAAATTCTCAGCTACAAAAAACTATTTTTAACATAGTTAAAAACCACCACTAGCCATGCATTTTTGCCAGCGATGAAGAAGAGCCTGCACGTCAACTTGTAAAAATCTGAACCTGTGCAGGTGACCCACTGTTGCCACTGTCCATGATATGGCATTATTATATGATGTATTTGGAAAAAGAGATCATCAAAACACATGCACGTGGTGTTAGGAAGGTAGCTGACATGTTCATTACATTGAAAAACCCCAAGCACCTCCAGATGTGTTTTGCACAGCCCCATGGGATACAGCGTACACTGCTGCCCATGGGGTCAGGGCTGCTTCCATCCTCATCTAACAGCCATACCAAAAGCAGCAGAATAAGATGCCATCTGCACCACTAGTTCATGCATTTACCATTATCACAAGCACAATGATTTTCACCAAGAACCACAACCTTAAGGTAGATATAAAGAAAGATTTAATTGACTCCAATGCAAACTTCCTTCATTTAGTTTCTTTGCTGTACAGAAGAAAATGAATTCAGGTTTAGTTAATAAATGTAGATATCAAATGATGTCAGACTCTTTAATATAAAAGCATTTTGTGAATGGGAAAAATTCCAAGTATGACTTCATACTGAAAACATAGACAATTTTTTATTTTTTTTAGTCCTATTAAGAACTGAATGGTGGCTTCTGACAAAGAGAGGGGGAAATTTTATAATAGCTTTAATAAAAGTAGAAATAAGTGATAAAAAAGAGTGTGAGAAATGTGAAACATACAGAGACTGAGAGCAGCATCAGTGAAGTACTGCAGCATGAATACAGTGAGAGATAAAATTACTTTTTCTATGTATATGGAACGTGAGTCTCTAATTATAGAAGTAAGGAATTGCCAGCACCCTTCCTGATGCTATTCATTGCCTGTCACTGGAAGTGGACCTTGCCAATGGATGTTTCTACCTACAAAGTGCTAATTGCTTCTCAAATCCCCAATGAATGATCTTGTCTTAGGTTAAAACCAACTTCATTCCTGAACTAATGTTTCTTAGACTTGGAAGTAGACAGAAGATGAAATTCTACAAAACTGCAGGATATTGTTCACATTAGAAAAAACGCGAATACCTCACAGGAATTTGGACCATCGCATATATCCAGATGAAGAAATGAGGAGTTAGCCAATATTAGCAGTTAAGCTACAGAACTAGAAATGGTCATTTCCATACAACAGTTTCCATAGTTCTGGTTCTTATAATTGGTGCACATTTTAACATTCTTCAATCGATATGAAGTTGAGTCATGAAACACACCTGTCAGTGACTTCTTGTAATTTGTTGAGCCCTTTAATAGCATTTATTTATGGGAGATTGCATCAGTTTTAACCTTGAAAACAGGAAAGAAATGTCTGCCTGTGCAGTATGTCATCACTGCACAGTGCCTCCTAAGTCACAGGAAGCTGGCAAATAGAAGCACTGTTAAAAATGTTTAAGTGAAGTCATTAAAAAGCTTACATCATTTTATAGATCATGCAAAAGCACCTGTAAAAAAATACTGTGGTTTTCAAGGCCAGCTGAGGCCATGGGAGAAACTGCTGATTTAGGCTACCTTTAGAAAGCAAACAAACTAAAATAATAACAGTCAGAGCATGTAAAGTGCTTTCCAGTTTTTTCCTAAAGCTTGATAGTAGGATCAATTGGAAAATAATAAAACAGTACTGAAAAGGTAGGACTATAAGCATGAAGTTTGCACTGGAATTTTTACTAATAATGACAATACTTGATCCACTTTCAGAACTGGAACTTCATCTTGTATCCTTTAGATGTATGTTCCCGATTTACTCTGCACCACAACACTGAGAAATTCTGCAGTACGTGGGAGAAAATAAAGAAGGGAGGCCTGAAAATGAATGGAATTATTTTGCTACGTGATGCAGAAAGTGACCCAAATCCTGTCACTTTTGGTGGGATTAGACTGTGTGGCTAGTGCTGTGTGGATATTTTTGACTGATGACAAACTATGAAACAATTTTAGTGCGGTACAATGAAACGATGCATTCCAATATACAATATTTGGGGCTAAAAATAAACCAAATATGAACTTTTGGAGAATATCAATATAAAACCCTTGAGATTTTGTACTGTTATTGAAGCACTGCTAAAATTGAATATACATGGAGATTCCCAGTTGGCAAAAACTGGGAAGTGTTGTTTAAAAAAAAAGTTTGACTCAGCTCTGAAACCAAAACTGTTGGTAGAGTGTTCTGACAGTGTGTAAAGATAAAATCCCCCACGTTATCAGGCTCTGCGCTCTCCAGCTACAGCCAGTTTCATCTGCTGCAGTGGAGAAAGGAGTTTTTCGCAGGGGGTGGAGGTCAGGTTACAGAAAATGAATGTTTGAAAAAGCCCTGAAATATCTGATGAGAAATTGCACCAGGGGCCCTAAGCCAAGAATATGTGATCCCAGATCAGATGTCGGCCTCGTTTTTCTTAGACAAGCATCCAAAACTTAGTTCCTTTTGGCAAGAGAACATCAGAAGCTGCTGTATTTGACACATGTACCCCACAGCTGATGTTTCAAGTACATACAACCTCATCAGTTCAGACGTGAACACACAGAAATCCATTTACAGTTATAAAAGTTACAAGGTACTAGGTGTGAAGTAAACATTAATCCCATGTTTGCTGCTTTGCTGCAAATAGCAGACGCATTACACCATAGCTTTTCTAAACACAATGTAAAAAAATGAGTCAGCATCTTATACCAGTTCAGAGGAGCTGAATAGAATTTAAATCACCATGAAAACTAAATTCTGAAATAACAGCACGGTTTCTAAA